AACAATGACATGAGCAATGAAAGAAACAAGCAGTCCTAATTTTGTTTAAAGGCAGAACTGCCAAGATTATTCAAAACAGCATGTTTTCTAACAGACGATGAAGAAAAACAGAATAAATTGCTTTACAATAGCATTTTGTTTTTTTTACTAGGCCAATCTCTGTCTCATGACATACGTTTTTACTTCTTCCACACTTCATAGCCTCAATCAATATGCCTGTCTCAGAGGTTTTTATTTTATGTAAAATTACACTTGCTGAGAAAACCTATTTGCAATACAAAATGTGAAGAGAAGTATCAACATTGACATTGCAACAAAGCATTTACCGCATTTTTGCCTCAGCTATAATGAAAATCAGGTAAATAAATAAGCTGGGTACCATAAAATGTTAGTTGGCCTCTGGCCACGTTCTTTCCTCTCACATTTTCAGCTACGCATTCGTACATGCCAGCATCTTCCTGCTGAAAGTTGGGGATTTCGAGAATGCTGCTTGATTTGTGTCTCCGAGCTTTTTTGGGGATTTGCTTTCCGTCTGTTCTTCTCCAGCTGATTGCAGGAACTGGGCTATTTATGAACAATAAAGGGGAAAAAATATGATGGTAAAGGCTATGTAATTTTAAATGACAGACATATTATATATTAACAATTTCTAGACAAAAAATCCATTATATGATCATCAAAATTTAGGTCAGATCTTCCCAACTCTAATTATATTGAGTGGAAATTCTGGGAATACCAAAGCATTTTGAAGGTGCCGGGTTAGGAAAATCTGACCTATATCTCTAATTAGTCATGTTTATACCTAGGCTATTATTGGTTATACTTATTATCATGCAATCATCAATTTTGTCATATATCTTAATATGGATTTTTGCCTATAATCATATAGCTCAAAATATTTAATGTTGTGTCCGATGGGCATATCCTATGGGCCTGTACTTTTCTGACATTTATGTGAGAGGGTTCTGTCCACTACATACACAATTCTGCATTGATTTAATTCTTTCTGGGAAGATATACCATTAATTAAACATTTCTATAATCACATTTTTCCAATAAACAAAAATGTGATATATTTGGACATAAAGATATCTATTAGTCTTTTTCAAACAGAAGTATTTTCCCAAAACCTATCTCCAATCCATCATTCGACTTATTTGAAACCTGTAACCTATAAAACATGGACCAGCTTCTCCAATAAGAAACTAAAGGCAGGCTACAAAATATAAATGCAACCTTGCTAAGAGAGAAATTTGAAATATAGTAATAAGTTTGGGATATGATGGAACATATTTCAGAGTTGGACAAACTGGTGTCTAGGAGTAGGGCTAAACACCTGTAGAAATATGACATAAGTATCCTTTCCATTGAAAACAAATACTTATAAGTTTTATTCCTGTCATAAAATTGACTATTTTGTATATATTAGACTCTACTTAGAATAGACCTACTTATAACAATGGCACTGTCACTAATGATTAATTTAAATTGTAATAAAGACTTGATTTTACCTATTTTTTCAAAATGTATAAATAGAAGTATAAACAGATTATTGTGATTAAATATACTTTAAATTTCATTAAGTATATAGGACAATAATTGTGGAATTAAACTAAACATCATGTATTTGACCAGATGACATGTCTAGGAGCTCATTGAAAGTCTACAAAAATATCAGTCTCCTCTGTTTTTATTAACAGCAGGTAATAAGAGTACACTGAATTTGACTTTTTTTATTATAGGTCACAGATCCACCAAGCATAACCATGAAAGGAGACATTCTGAATTGATTTATTGGAATTGGGACACAATATGCTAGGTCTGTATTGTAGACAAATACAACAGCAATATAGTTCCCTTATAATAAATCACTTTCATGCTAATTCCTGACACTGAATTTTCTCATTGCTGTGGAATTCTGCAAAGTTATTTTTAGCATATAATTCATTAGGTCCTCAAGATTTATTTTCCGCATCCAATTTAGAGAATATTTTGAGTTGGTTTGTGTGGCCTATCTAGAAAAGGATCATACCTCAATAACTTTTGTTATTAGATTAAATGGTTGATGGATTAGATGTAATAAAGCAGGTAGATCTTTAATTTGATTCCAGGAAGATGATACTGTTTGAAGTGACAATTTGTATAGCACTGGAAAATGAGCAATTTGTTGAAAAGGTCCTGGAGCAAACATAAATTGTGTCAAACAGAATTCTCCCAATTTGGTAGACTGCTTAACTCTCTGGAAATAATTTCAGTACCACTGTGTGGTTGGCAAAAACTTACTTTCCCAGTGCAAAACACTCCAGCCTCACAGTTGTTCCTTTGGCAGATGGAACCATTTCTGGGAATTGCACTTCGATTTTTGGCTCATATTCACCCATCACTCCTGTGAATATAAAATAGATGCTAAACTGGGTTGATTTCTGCAGTTCATATTCTCAAGTATTCCAGAGTTAACCGGGAGCATTTTATGTATCATTACATGACAGTTTATCTGTTAACTTCAAAGAAGACCTAACTGCCACTCAGGGAGGGCTTCCTCTTCCATTTATTGGCTAGGGGAAAAATTGGCCTGTAGCTCTTAGCAATCTGCCAATGATTAAATCTCCTCATGTCTTCTTTTTATATATATGATTATACTTTATTAGTGCTTTGCTGTTCATAAAAAAGAATATATATATATAGACCATCAGAGATCCAAATAATACCAAGACAAATTGTCTCCAATGGCATTATACAGGTTTTACTGCTTTTGTAAATCACTTATCACATTCATACTTTCGAATAAATAAAATATATCTAAATACTGATTTGCATAAGAAGTCATATTTATGCTCAGTCAACACATAAACTGAACTGGCTCCACTAGGGGTTAATGTGATTTCCTGGAGAATAAACTCAGGAGAATTACATTATAAATTTTAGGGGGTATCCTTTGTATTTATTTTTGTTCACCTATAGGGATCAATTCAAGATTAAGTATAATAGGAAAACTGCAGTTGTAAGGCATTGAATATGGGATTAAGATTCAAAAGTATCATTTTCCAAAATACAGTTTGAAGACAGCTGGAATCCCTGCATCTTTGATTCTGAGCCATTATGACTGCTATGGAGGATGCTCCCCTGTTGACTGGCTTATACTCTTAAAGTGATCTGTTGACGTTTTATCCATGGAAGCAGATAACAGCAGCTGTCTCCTGCATGGAATGTTAACCCTAGAACTCTGCAGAATGCAAAGCTACTTCAGCTGCGGAGAGGGAACCAGCAAAACAGCTAAAAACAAGGCTGAATTTGAATAAAGAAAAAAAAATCACTTAGAACAGAGCATTTTTCTATCCTAAGTTTGTTGAAAATTGGTGTACCACACAGAGTTACAGAAAGTAACCTGAAGAGTGACAAAGTATAAAATAAATGTCAAGTAAACATCATACAATGTGTAAGTTTATTGATATTTAGTGCTGTTTTTATTGCAATTCTTATTGTCTTATTTATTTATTTGTTCGTTTGTTTATGGAATGTGTATTTCTTAGAAACGAACTCATATAACTGTTACTCTAATAGGTGTACATTTAGCGAATGATAACATAGGATTATACTGATTACCATAAACTATAACTTTCACTAACATATTCAGAAACAAACATGTTGATATTTTCCATCTCAGGAAGATTCATAATTTTATGTATTTATTTATTAAACAATCAAAGGTATATAGCCACTCATCTCACCATAGGTGACTTTGGATGGTTCACAATAATGGATAAATAAAAAAATATAAAAACAGCATATGCAAATATAAAAACCCATAACAATAAATCTTCTAAAAACCCAAAATACCAAACCCTAATTGAAGTAAATAGAGCCATCTAGATAAATCTCTGGTTATGTGGGAGCATCAGGCCTGATCACATATCTTTGTTTGAGAAACTTTCAGAATTTCAGAATATCAAAATTTAACTGGTTTATTCCCCAAAGCTGAAGGTCTGTTTTGGGAATCAATAAATATTAGACAAGGCAAATATCATAACAACCTCAAATATACCCATAAAATTGTGTGTGTATGCATGTGTGTGTATATGTATATGTATATGTATATGTATATGTATATGTATATGTATATGTATATGTATATGTGTAGTGGGTTGCCCCCGGTTCGGATCGGTTCTATAGAACTGGTAGTAAAACCGGGAAGGCTCCGCCCACTGACCCTGACATCATCAGAAGTGATCTGCGCATGCAAAGAAGCAAGGCACATGCATGAGCGAAGCGAGTGTGTGATCCTGTTGCTTACCGGTAGTAAAGGTAAGTAGAACCCACCCCTGATGTATATGTATATGTATGTGTGTGTGTGTGTAAATATATGTGTGTGTGTGCATATGTGTGTGTGTATATGTGTACGTTTGTGTGTGTATACATGCACACACACACACACACACACACACACACACACACACACAGAGGATATAACTATATAGGAACTGGCTCAGTGAATGTTCCCTGTTCATAGTTCTTTGTAAGAGATTATCTGATGCTTAAAGCATTATAGATGTTCCCTATTCATTCTCTCTCACACAGAGATTCACACTGATCAAATGGCTTTTGAAGAAGAAGAAAACAAGGAGTCCTGCTGTTGCTCAGCTGTTTTGAAATGAAATTGTCTTCATGGTGACTGGCCCTCAAATGTTTGTTCATTTGTTTTATCCACTTTCATGGGTAGGATCATCCCTTATCCTGTCATTATTTATGTTTAAGCTATGGATAGCAACTTATGACAATAATGCTGATTTATTGACTATTGCTATGGTGTTTTGGGCAACATTCTAAGACTGTTTCATTTTTCTATCTCTGTGCAACTATACCTTCTCTTACACACTTCATAGAGCAGTATCTCACTGGCAAAGATACCATAGTCACACAGATTGCATTGCTCCTCATTGACTACTTTTGCTTACCCATGAGTTTGTCAGCACTATTCCAGGGCCTGATGCAGGATCAGTGTGACTGCTTACTCCAGTTTCTCAAAAGAGACTGGCAGGCTGTCCTGTTGTTGATCTTCCACTCAATTTACCCCATCTACATGTTTATCCCATGTACAGCCTTGAGATCTTGCTTTTCTTATTCACCCTATTAACTTGTCATTATTTAGTTTCAATATCTTTTCAACTTTTGCTGGGCTTACTTCAGCCATGTCAGCAGGTTGTACAATGGCTGCGCATAGTTTAATGCCCTAGATGGCATTAGCCGCCATAATACACAAAGCACGCAGCTAAACTGTCTACATTCACACCACCAGAAAATCCTGATCTGGATGAAATCCTGTAGCCACAAAACTACAGTTAAAGTTTTGGTTCTGTCTTCAGCACAAATGAGAAACCAAACAGGTCTGCTATTTCAGGCTGCCCAGGAAATTAAAAAAGGAACCTTGCCCACAAGTTGTTCTCTGCAGAGAAAAGTAAGGAAACAACTTCAATTGAAGCAAATGGATGATCAGTTGTAAGCTATTTTTAAAGCTATGGCTCCCCTGTTGCCACTGTTACTCTTTCTCTGCACTCTGATTACTCCCAGCACTTAACAGGCTAATTGAGGACTGGCTGAAAGTATACTTAGAATAGATTGTGGGAGACAAGCCTAAATTTGAAGATAATTCTTACTATGGAAAGACCAGAGCAATGACTATTTTCTGACAAATTCTATGCCACACAGACTGCCTTTTATCTTGCACTTGGACGATTAGATAAACACCATCTCGGCAGAGAAGACACAAACTGGTCTTATATTGATCCAGGAATTGTCTAAACAATAAGTCTACTTTTACCATTGCCTGGCCATGTCCAGTTTTGATACATTTTAGTGTCCCATGGAGGAAATGCCGCCTGCTATTGTAATAGCTTGACCAATGGATTAAGGAAACTTTTTTTGAATCTGCCATACAATAAGAAAAAAAAACATATTGTTTTCAAAAAAAGTGCAAAGAAACAGGTAAAGTTATATTTTCTAGGGCCCCCAAGAAGCTGGTTAGGAAGCAGAATGAAAAACGAAATGCAGATATGAAATATTAGCTGGACGCCCGTGCTTCGCTATGTGCTCGGGCTTGATAAATTGACACTTACAGCCTGAAACTTAATGTACAATGTGTAACTCTGTAGCATCAGAGTGTGTTAATATAATGCAATTGGCAATTGGAACAGAGGGGGAGGGGGAGTAGAGTGCCCCAGCCTGCAGCATCCATCGGTATTCATCTGGCTAGCATCCTGTCAGTGTGTGAGAGACTTGAGGGGTGTTTGGAAACTCAAACAGTATTTGCTATGTGAGCAAGGAGACAGGAAGGAGGCTGGGTGTGGCTTAGCTCAACTGTTCTGTAGTAAAGCTGTTTGCTGCTGTGAAAGTAAAACTGAAACTGAAAGTCCTCTCCTCTGCTTGTGTTTTGCATTTGGAACATATTTCTTTTGAGATGGGGAGGAGGAGTAGAACTCCTTAGCATCAGAGTGTGGAACATATTTCTTTTCAGGTGGGGAGGGGGAGTAGAACTCCTTAGCATCAGAGGGCTGTTTGGAAAGTGAAACAGTATTTGCTGTGTGAACAAAGAGGAGACAGGAAGGAGGCTGGGCATGGTTTAGCTCAAGTTTTCTGTATTAAAGCTGCTTCCTGCTGTGAAAGTAAAACTGAAACTGAAACTCCTGTCCTCTGCTTATGTTTTGCATTGGGAACATATTTCTTTTCAGAGCATGTTAATAATAATAATATAGGAAATATTAATGATCTGATGGTCATTTCCAAAAATCCTTTCTTTATGAGCACCTAGAAGCCAAGAGGAACATATGTGGCAAATTTCAAGTTTGTAGGCTTTTCGGTTCTGGAGATTTCATGATTAATGCATGAGTGGTTTTATATATATAGATTATTTATAGATAAATGTATTTATATACTATAAATAGTATTTCTTGCACAGTTAGTGAAGGATAAAGATGGAAAACAGGGACAGGTACTCAAGAACAGTACAATATTACAATTTTAATAACTTTCCAGATATCAAGTTACATTTCCATGGAGATGTTCTAAGTATCTCAAATACCTACAATTTTAAGGGATACAAAATCCAAGTAAGTTATATAATTGGGAAGAGGCAGGGTGCATTTTTATAATCATCAACACCAATCTGCCAGAATCCTCTCTTACTTTTGCAGTAGCAAATATGGAGATGTCTCATGTAATCTAAAATAGGACAGAACAGGAAATCTATGTTTCCCAGAAATAATTTTATAGGGCTCCTGTTTTCTCCTTTTAACCATGGTTATCAAATCCAAGTATTTTTGGCACATTTAGTGCTAGATTACAAAGCCAACACTAATCAAAAAGAAGTTTTATTTTTAAAAAAAGCAAGAAAAGCATTGATAAGAGCTCCCTATTATTCATCTAATGAAAAATGTTGAGTATTATAAAAAAAAGTATTCATTTATTTGAATTGTTGGAATGGAGGACATATTAAGTTTGATTTTTTCCCCAAAGGATAGCATTTTTTTGTCTTTTTGTTATTCATCTTGCTTATACTTGCTTATAAGGAGTGTGAAGTATTGCAATAGTTCTAGCACCAACATTTTAGATTTATATAGTTCTTATTTATGTAATCAGGACATTAAAAATGGATGAATTTGCCACTTAATCTACTAATTTAATAACCATGTGCTCTAATGAAACTAATTCCTCTTATATATTGAAATATACCGGCCATGCAAATGTCAGGTTTTTTTTTAAAAAAAAGATCCAAATACAGCTGACATACTCCTATAACATATATCATTTTTGTTTGCATTTATTGCTCTTTAATTTACTATTTTGCATCCCGAAAGAGTGGTCTTTTATATTAACTGCCTTAACATATGAATATTGATGAATGAATTGCATTTAAACAGCTGAATTATAGGAAATGTAGAACAGGAAAATGAAGACTATAAATAGCAGCGCTATTTTATGATGCCTAATTTTAACATACAAATTTACTATTTTACATTACTACTTCAAGCCCCAAATCTTATCGTATTTCATTTAATGTTCACTGCTGCTACAGAACTCAATGGACTGCCACCTGGTTTTAATGGCTCATGAACTTAAAATGGGGGTGTAGGTGGCAGATTGCTAAATCCAATTTTCACCCAAACTTTCAGGGTGAGGGAAGGAGAAGGGGCGGAACATTCTGGGTGGTAGCAGCAGCATATTGGTGGCCTCCTTACTAGTGGGCTGGTACCATCCAATGGCTGCCATGTTTTGCAAATCTGCCAGCCATGCCCACAAAGTCAGAGGAGGGGTGGCATCTGATCTAGGTGTCAGAGACTAAATTGCTAATTTTCTTGCTTGTTTATACCCACAGAAGTCCTGTAAAATTCAGTGTATTACCTAAGAAAGCTTCACAAGCATAAGATTACTCAAATATTTAAAATGAATGATAATCTGAACTCTTGTTCGGGGCCAAATCTTAATAATTACTTTTCATTGTATCTGTATAGAATGTAGATTTTTAGTATTATCCTTTAGAACTTTTTCCTTTTACCATTTCTTATGAATCTTATTAGAATGTAATAAAAGTCTTACCATCATTTCTCAGGATTAAAGGCGTAGGAGGCCCTCGCACTCTGCTATTTGTTACTGTGTTTGTCACGACACACGTATAATTGCCCACATCCGATTTCTCTACTTTAGCTATGTATAAATTCCCAGTCTCTTGCGAAACAAAGCGGCGATTATCCTGGTGCACAAAAGTTGGATATTCATTGAAAATCCAGGCATATATCAATTCTGAAAATAAAGCAATAATAACTATTAATAATATTACAGAATATACTTGTGGAAAGCAGAAGACTAGGTCATAAAAGAAGCAAACATCAACTCTCCTTAGACATGCACACAGACTTTTCAAACTGTTAACGTGAGAAGAAGAATTGCATTTTTATTAATTTGAAGCCACTCTGATTTTCAGACACCAGCTCTGGTTTTTAACCTAACAAGGTAAAAATATGCATTTATACAACCCTGGAGAAATCATTCAGCAAAATAAGCAGGTACTTAGAGCAACAATGCAAGGGATGGGCACCACAGAGTTCCCCCCGCCCCGCCCCAGTTATCATGCTCTTAACTCTTTCACTTACATGCTCAATTTTATATGATTTTTTTGGAATCCTAACCTGTTGTGTTAAACTTTAATCTGCTTTTTTTTTTAAAAAAAATATTTCCTTGGCATGGTGAGTGACTCCAGTTTAAAACATTTGGTTTCAAAGTGTTGTCAGATATCACATTTGCCATCTCATGGTATGAGAGTTTTGTTTCCATTGAGAGCACCATTGTTTGTTTGTATTTAGGACATAAACTGACTTTAATCTGACCCTACATGTATATAAAGGCAAATAAAGGAATCTTTGTGTGGAGAACTCTAAAACCTGGGCAATACTTCAGCGTCACAGTCCAATGTTTTCTTTTTTGGAAGAGACAGACAGGAACTCTCGATTGCTAGCTGCCTAATGTATGAATCAGAAATCAGTGCATGGTTACAGAAAGTAAACAGAGCCATAAGTTCCCTAAAACTAGCTATCTGGAAACATTTACCAGCTAGGCACTATATATTCCAGTAGAAGAGAGTATACAATATGTAGCTCAGGACTGAACCGGGGGGGGGGGGTCCTTGGTGCTCTCTCACCTTGGCTGTTTGCTTACAGATGTTTCATTACCCAACTAGATAACATCATCAGTGTGAGTGAATGTGGGCAGGGGTGGGAGTCAGCCAGTTCGGGCAAACCAGATGCTAATTTTACATCTGGTTCCCTGAACCAGTAGATGCAAGGACTGGCTGGCCCCGCCCACTCCTCCCCTCCCAGGAGTCTCCACACGGCCTGTTTTGGATGCCAGGTAAGTGCAGTGCCTGTGCAGAGGCTCTGGGAGGGCGAAAAATAGGCCTCCCAGAAGTTTGGAATCAGGTCCATTTCTGGCCTCCAGAGAGCTTCCAGAGCCCAGGGAAGCTGTTTTCGCCCTCCTACAGGCTTGAGGAAAACCTCCAGAGCCTGGGGAGGGTGAAAATGCCTCTCACCTGTGGTGCAGGAGGCCAAGTAGGCCTCATCCACCATAGCCATGCTCACCCAGCAACCGGGCAGACAACCAGTTGCTAAAATTTTTGAATCCCAACCCTGCGTGTGGGGTTTGCTCCTTGTTTATATATAGTAGCTTGCCAGGAACCACTAAGAAGAAAACCATACCCCCACCATCTGGCAGGACAAGTTATTGTAAATAAACAATGAGCAAACCTCATACTAAGTGATAATATTATCTAGTTGGGTAATAAAATATTTGAAAGCAAACAACCAAGCTCAGAGAACACTGAGAATTCCACTCTATATATAATTTGGAAATTTGTGGCATTTACAGTAAATATAAAAAGTTTTCCATTAAAAAAGTTTTAATTCTCCATCTGATTGTAACTCATCATGCTGGATTTAAGAACAAATCATATCTATTTCTTTACTCTTTGATTTGCCTAATCGTTTGCTTCTACAGTTAGGACTTCATATACCCTGAAGATTAGAAGAGGAGAAAAATGTATATTAAATGAAGTATTCAAGGGCATTATGACTAATTCAACAATATTCCCAATTTATACTTTATCTTTGGAAATTATGCAACAACAGGGACATACATTGCAAGCAACTTCCAGCACTTAGGTTTCACTATAATCTTGTTATATTAATGCAAGACTATTACCCTAAACATCTTAAGAAGACTATTAAAAGAATTAGAGAACCATCTGTTGCAGCTTTATAGGAGTATTTTAATTCCTTTTAATGAGTCATCATTGTAATTGACCTCCACTATTGTAATACTTATTAAGATACAAGGGCTCAATCCACCAAACAGATTTGCCCCCTCACAATAATTATTTCACTTTCAGCTTACATGAACACATTGCATTCAAATGTTTACTAACAAAAGATGATACTGTTATACTTTAATAATCACTCCGCAATGGAAACCATTTTTACTGGATTTTTAGAAGATACAATAATTATGTTTATGTGGCTTATCTAATCATTGTATTTACACATGGGCATCTAATTGTAAGTAACCCTATGTTATTGTCATGCGGATGCTTCTAATGAACAAGGTAGCATTTCTCAGCAGGTATAACACATTCCAGGAAAAAAAAATCTGTGGGCCTAAACCATTCTTTTTTACTTTGATTTACACATTAATTTCCTTTCCTTTAAATGAAGGTAAAGGTTTACAGTCACTCTACTTCAGACTGAGTACAACTGATTTCTTGTTGTTGCTGTTGTTTTCCTTTCCATATCCCCCAGAGACCATAAAGAATTTTAAATAATTCTTGTACTGTGAATTAACAGATGCCACTTATGTGCATGCATCATAAGGGAGCTTGTTAGAAAACAGTGACAACTTAGATTGATCCAGTCTCTCCCATGAAGCCTGGCAAAGTAGGGAGTTATTTCCACTCATGGATGGCATTTGTAAAACCCATATGGTTCTGTGCCAAAAGGCATTTAAAGTTGATGATCCAAAAATGCCAAGAGGAGATCTATAATTCCAAGAGCTCTGCAGTAAACAGAATGTTCTTCTTGTTTTCTTCCAGTCCTGTGAGAAAGGTTGGGTGAGAGAGAGTGACTGGCCCATAGTCCCCCAATGAATCTCTGTGGATGAGGAGGGACTGGAATCTGGATACCTCTCTGCTCATGGTTCAGCTCTTTGACTACTACATCATTGATGGGTAGATAACAGATAAATAAAGTAGCTTGTTTCTGATTGTCTAAAGTTGGGTCGTGGCAACTTTTTTGGTTTGAAATGTTTTGCTGCTTATCCAAGTAGCTTTTTCAATGTGGTTATGGAGACCCCATATATGTCCTCCAGGGTGATTTCCTTTCTCACCAAATCTGAATAGGTTCTTAGGTGAGTAGACAGAGGGTCATTAAGGGTCATTGTTCCTAAATCCTTCTCTCAGGTGTGTTATTAAGTGGTGACCTCATTGGTGAACCTGTGAAGTGCTCTTGATCTTCCTGGGGACTGATACAAGAACAGCATAAAAATGACGGACAGGTTATGTCTGAGGCCTCCACCTCTATTGAAGGAAGGACTTTACACTTTAGCATAAATGGATTCCTTCGCTCCTCTCTCAAATCATATATCTTCCCTGTCCAAAATGTGAACACATTTGTCCTCAAAAGAGTGTCCTTTTTCTTTTTCTTTTAAGTGAAGGTATACTGCTGATTCTGCTTGCAGACTCTGTAAACATCATGAATCACCTCAAATCATTGCATCCCCCCCTATTTTAGGGGGAGATGGCACAGGATCTTCAATAAGATTCTGCAAAGATTGATAAAGTGAGCATGCAGTATAAATTTTCAAAGGCAAACCCTTAAGATTTTTTTTCACACATCCAAATTAAGTGCTAATACAGATGTTGAAAATAGTTTTCTTTTTCTTTGAACAAACATCGGTGCCTGAGCTGTAGATACCAGCAAGCAAATAAGATGATCTAGGTCCGTGATGGCCAACCTATGGCATGCGTGCCAGAGGTGGCACACAGCACTCTCTCTGATGGCACCCGAGCTGCTGTCAAAGTTCAGCTCTGCTGCGCATGTGCGTGTGCCTTCTGCCGGCCAGCTGGTCGTCGGGTCTCTGCCGTGCATGCACGGGGGAGCGGGGCACATGTGGGAGCATGTGTGCATGCACGGGGCACATGCACATGGGCACGCTGCATGGCATTTTGGGGATATGGGTGCACACACAGACATTTGTGCACTTACGTGCATGCTTTAGGCACTTGGTCCGGAAAAGGTTAGCCATCACTGATCTAGGCCATTTATTCAGAAAATATATTAGATAAATCTTATTAATTTGTTTTCTTGCTGAAATAACTTCTCTCCCCAAAATCTGAAGCACTCAACTTCCCATTCCCATTTGGAGATGTCATCATGAGAGGAACAAGGAGGAAATGCATTGTCTGATACAGACAATGAAGTAAACCTTAACAGAAGGGTTGATTCTTGCTTTGCTTTGACATTGCGACAAGATGTTAGCTAACCACCATTAGCTACAATATCTAAGAACAGAAAGAAACAAAGAGCTGACCACAGACAATTGCTAAGAAAAAATATTTGGGCAGATAGAAAAAAGATGACGTTTTAAAGAAACAAGCAAGCTATTGAAAAGTGAAGAATTGGCGAGAGGATGGATTGAGTTATGGTGTTGCATACTAAATCTCAGAAAGGAGAAATGAATTCAGAATGAGAATTATTAGTCCATATTTTGCCTCCTGAATCAGCCATTGATTCCTGCTTTCCTCAACCACTCCTCCTCTAACTCACCTGTACTTCTGAGAGATCAAAGTGACTTTACAATATGGTGAAAATTTAACATCAGCCTATATTGGGAAGGCCTTAAGTCACTACCCCTTTCCCCTTTCCCTTCAATCTCAGTTTTTATTTATTCTCAACGATTGAATCAAACTTCAAATATTGTAACATCTTATGCAGCTAGGTCAGACATTCCCAAACTTTCTCCATTCATGGCACCCTGAGTGTCTCACTAATTTTTCACGGTGCCCAAATTATATCCAAAGTCAGTGCAGCCAACTCATAAACAGTATGGTTTATTAAATTATCCTATGGCACCTCTGTGAGTTCACTGTGACACTCTGGGGTACTGTGGCACAAAATTTGGAACCCTGAGAACTAAGTCAAGACCCCAAAAGAATGAAACTTAGCTGAATCCTAAGCCTCATGCACATAGTTTAGGCATATGGGGGCTATCAAATGAAATGGAATATATGGAGATAGGAAGTAATTGCAGAGTGAAAGAAGTTCCCTTTCAGTAAGCAGAAAAATACTAGTCCCTCAGTAGTAGCAGTAGGCAATTAACAATCTTCATTTACAGGCAGACGTTATTTACAGACTATCATCACTTCCTTGGTGGTAGAAATATACCCAGAAAACATGCAGCTAACAGTTCTCAGTCAGTGTGCAGATCATCATTGCATTGAGGTCAGAAGTTTCCCAGATGGTGGACAAGTGATAATCCCAAGTAGAGACGAGTATGAATGGAGACAAAAGAAAATGAGCAGATACATCCTGAGCCTAAACTGGGACAGTAGATCCATTTATGAATAAATTGTCTTAACTTGATGCTAGATTTCACACTTCTCTGATTTCCCCCATTCCCCAACAGTTGACCTATTTTTAAATTATTTGACTATGATCCTACATAAAGTTTTTTCTAGGCAGCAACTTCATTTGTACCTAGAATTCTGATAGTTAAAATAATGGTAGTATATTATTCTACACACAAAAAATGCAGAAATGTTCAAGGTAAAGTATAACAGAATGGAACAATAACCTAAATATAAATGCAAAATATGCAGTTTTGAGTTCTATAGGGATGCCTGTGCAGTGCACTATTTGTATCTGTTTCAAACTTGGCAGATTTCTTCTAATAAGGCTTCACCTGCTAATTGGTCTGAAAGTGACAATTGCTGTCCCATAGGCAATTTGTAACAACTGAATAAACGGCCTCTTAATATACAGCATGAAATGACTTAGAGCCAGTTAGTTAAGTAACAAAAAAAAAAGGATTAGAGTTTATAACAAGATGTTTGGCAGTATGGAAGATGGTAATAAGGGCAATTCATTGTTCTAAAATAGATGACACCAGGTAAAACATCAAAAGTTCTTAGAAAGGTTAAGGATTTTTAAACTAATATAAATATCCCCTGTATCTTATAAAATATGCTTATCAGAACTAGTTGATTAAAACATCATTGTGCATTTTCCCCATTTTTCAATATTGGATTTTTTTTCAAGGTAGTCTTCCTAAAGTCTATTTTCTAAAAGTGAACATGGGTCCTATAGATAATTATTATATTACTTTCATTTCATTTCTTGTGTCCCAAACATTTCAGCTCTGCGCTACTATCAGTTACTAGCAACTGGTTGTAATCTATTTCTATTTTTAAATGTTTATTTATACTTTCTATTCCATTCTTCCTTCTGCAGCATTTCTTCTACATTAACAATACCACTTTAATAAACAGATGTACTTACAGAAAGCGCCCTTCTAGGAATAAAATATTCTGTTTATGGAAATGAAGTTAACTCTGAACTTAAGCCAACTTTCTCCTATCAAAAAGACTATTGTACCATGTCAGCCTGTTGCAAACTTCAGATGTTTTCCATCTTGCAGATGTTGTTGTCTTCAATAAATATGTAATACTTTTATGTGTATTCCTCTGTGTATGTATATTTGTGTATGTGTCTCTGATCCACATCCAAGAAGGGGTCCAACACTATGATACTTTTGGGTGTCTCTAAATCCTGATGTGCATGGAAAAGAGACAGGTTTTATGTCATGACACTGCTTTCATAAGTCTGACTCCCCTTGTCCTATCCCACAGACACTGCTGGATCAGTGGTGGGTTTCAAAATTTTTTACTACCAGTTCTGTGAGTGTGGCTTGGTGGGCATGGCATGGCTTGGTGGGCGTGGCAGGGGAAGGATACTGTAAAATTCCCATTTTCCTCCTGATTAGCTGGGACTTGGGAGGCAGAGAATAGAGGGGAGCGGGGCCAGTCAGAATTTTTACTACTGGTTCTCCAAACTACTCAAAATTTCCGGTACTGGTTCTTCACAACTGGTCAGAACCTGCTGAAACCCACCTCTGTGCTGGATATATATCTTGTGGAATCACACACACACACACACACACACACACACACACACACACACACTTGAATTGCTGATTCAAAAAATAATTATGTCTGTAAAATAACAAGCTTTTATAAAACTAATTGAGTTTTAATTAGTTTGATTGTTTTATGTACCCTATTTTGAGCATTTCTTTACTAACATTGAGTACTCAAGACTATTACTCATATTTGTGTTTGCCAAAATCTTTGTGTTCAATGTCAGAAGCTATTATGAAATATTAAAATTGCGGAGCAATAAAGCAAAATTGAGGTAGTGTTGGATTTGAAAACAACGTAGAAGTACAAGTTCTGGATATTCTGCTTCAACCATTAGATAACAACTGTCAGTGCCTCAGCGCTGGCATAGAGAGGAGAGAGATAAGCTCTGAACTTTTGCCTAAATCCCTTTGAAGCCGGGTTGTCGTGGAAATGAGGGGGGGGAGACATTCCTGGGAAATGACGAGACAAGAAGTCTGGAGAATGACTTGGAAGATAGCCAATGAGAAGCAGAGATTTGGGGATCGGAAAGGGAGGGATTGGGGGGCAAAAGGTCAGTCTTGTCCGCATCGAGTCATGATCCGGTTGCTGTGCTCAATTAAAGAAAAGATTTCCTTAAAGATTGGCAGTTTGGAAATTCATTTATTTTGAGATAGCATCGAAGTCTGACAACAACGTTATCCAGTGAATTAGCAGCCAAGTTAAAGACTATTCAAGAATCTAGATCATTACAACATAATTTGGTCCATCTATATACTAAATACCTTATATAATATGCAGTACTGATAGTCAGCTGGTTATGCATATCACATGCTTGCAAGATGAATTTATTGTTAAAAATTTAGTAGGGACTGTCAAAGCTCAAAAGATGCTGAGAAATCTATTTGTTATAGCACATTAGAAAATCCATTATACCTAACACATGCATATTTAAGTAAAATATAACTGTTCATCAATAATCAATCATGAAGACATGAAATTATTATATTCTGTTATATGACATTTTCTGGACTGCTTCAAGATATTTTGAAGTTTTTATTTTGTTGGATGTAGAAATGACAGGATATCCAATGAAATATTATTTTACCATGTTTTTCAGATGCATTAGCAACATCTAAAACCCTTGAATTACTGTCCCTTTTGAAATGTATTTCAGGTTATTCTAAATTTCAAGTATGCTTTTTAAATAAACAATTAAACTGCCAATTGTTTACATGAATGCTGAAATGAAAAGTCCTATTTTAATAAATCCATGGCTAAATCTTTAAGTATTAAGTGTCAAGTGTCAAGTAACCCCTCGACACAATGCCATTCTAGGCGAGAGGCCTCTGAAACAAGTTCATCAACAAAACACGGTGGAGGGGGTGAGTCGCGCCTAGATGTGCTTACATGGTGATAGTAGGTGGCGGGCGGTATATGGAAGGGGGAATCAGCGGTTAGTAGTCTGCCGCTTGCATTTCGATCGGGGAGCCGTGGATGACGTCCTGAACCCGCGCCCGATGCTGACTCCTCGAGCACAACCATGGAGCCGCAGATGACGTTATAATCTTGCACAGTTGAGAGTAAATAGAATAAGCGGCAGATTCAAAACTGCGCAGCTGTGGAGGATATAGGGTGGAGTGAGAGCCGCTCTATAAAACTCTGCTAACGAACTAAGCAAGCGTCTCTGACTTTGTCCTGTACGGGGCTGCAGCGCCTACTGTAAACTGCTGCGTAAGCTACGATTAAACCGGGCTTTGGAGACATTTCCTTGTGCGTATGTGGTGTTTGCCTGGCGAAGCACAGGCTGTTCCAGAGGGGCTGACAGAAAGTTGGAGACACTTGCTCGAAATAGATCAACATTGGAAATTGGTGCATTTTGTGGTGGTGGAAAAAATGATTGAACCCGTGATTCTGGGGTTATTATGGTTAGACAGAGGGGCTGACATTAAGTGTATATCCAGTGGTAGGGTCAGCTTGGCTGTTGTGGGAGGCATGGCCGATCCCCATCTTCCAGCTCTACCGCAAATGCGGGACGACTCTCCTGTGATGGCCAACCTGACCCTGGGAGAACCGGTGATAAATTACCCCCCACACTATCAAAGTGGATCCTGGCAGCTTTGCTGCAATGGAGAAATGAGAAATGGAGTGGCTAGCACCAGGGAAGGAGGAAGAGTAGGGAGAAGAAAAAGGGAAAGCGGCCTCCTCTTTCCCTCGCACCAGCCGCCCTGTTTCCCATTTCTCCAATGCAGTGCCGCACCGCGGAGCATGCATCACCCACTGCCTAGATGCCCTCATTTCCCACAAGCATTTCTTTGCCTACCTGATTTCCAGTCCCTTCACGAGATCTTTTTTTTCATGAGAAGTTGGAATTGATTGATTGAACTTTTCTTTTTTTAATCCCACAAACTTTAGCTTCTCTACACATGATGGCGAGAAACACGATGGAGAAACGCAACAGAGCTAGAAATCAGGTAGGCAAAGAAATGCTTGGGGGAAGCGAGGGTATCTGGGTGACAGGTGCTGAAATGAGCCTGTCTCTCTCCAGCAGCTGCCCAGGCCTGCCAGAGGGAAGGCCAGCCCCTACTGACACTTAAATGCAGCGGCATTCCAGCTCTGGCCAGGAAGCAGCAGCTGAGCTGGGCACTCCAGGCAGGACGCCCTCTCACTTCAGCACCCTCCCCGACCCTCTGGTGCTCCGCCGGTGCTTTGGCCCTGGTGTGCCGCCTTATGCGCAGGCCCCGCACCACCGCCTGAGATAGTTTTTGCTTGAGTGAAGTGATTGAAGGTTTCTGTTGTTCCTCTCTTGGACTTTGGGGGAGAATTTTTTTTCCTGCCTGGAAGGAAGTTGAACGAAAACCAGACGTGTTCTGGAAAACACAGATTTTCTGGAACACTTTTAACCGGTTCACCGAACTCAGCAAAAAAATTAGATATTGGTTCTACCGAACAAGTGCAAACTGGCTGAATTCCAAACCAGCTGTATATTATTATTATTATTATTTTATTATTATTTATTAGATTTCTATACCGCCCTACTCCCGAAGGACTCAGGGCGGTGCACAGCCAAACAATAAAAACACATACAATACAAAATTTAAAAAATAGAATAAAATCAAATTAAATAATTTTGGCCCCGACAAATTTAAAACCCCAAACTTTTAAAACCAATTTAAAATTGAATATATAAATACTAAAAAATATTTAAAATATTTAAAATATTTAAAATTTTAAAAATCTTTTATAAAAGAGGGGGAAAATTAGGCCAGGCCGGCCTGGTGAAATAGTAAGGTCTTTAAGGCGCGGCGGAAGGTGCGCAGATCCGGGATCCTCCGTATCTCTGGGGGGAGCTCGTTCCAGATAGTAGGTGCCCCCACAGAGAAGGCTCTCCCCCTGGGGGCCGCCAGTCGGCATTGTTTGGCTGACGGCACCCGGAGGAGCCCCTCTCTATGGGAGCGTACTGGTCGGTGGGAGGCTATTGGTGGTAGTAGGCGGTCCCGCAAGTACCCGGGTCCTAAGCCATGGAGCGCTTTAAAGGTGGTAACCAAAACCTTGAAGCGCACCCGGAAGACCACCGGGAGCCAGTGCAGCTCGCGCAGGAGAGGTGTTACATGGGAACGCCATGTCGCTCCCATTACCACCCGCGCGGCCGCACTCTGCGCCAGTTGGAGCCTCCGGGTGCTCCTCAAGGGGAGCCCCATGTAGAGAGCGTTGCAATAGTCCAGGCGGGAGGTGACAAGGGCATGAGTGACCGTGCGTAAAGAGTCCCGATCCAGAAAGGGACGCAACTGGCGAATCAGGCGAACCTGATGAAAAATCTTATATATCGTATATATCTTATCACTTAAGAGGATACTCGCTCAACCAAAGATACTTCTTCAGATTTACTGGATACCTCAAATAATGTTTAAGACTGTCAACTTCATTATGTTGAAAGTATGAAATGAGTGATCCCATTCTCCCTCAAGCTGGCCTCTGAGGAAGAAGTTGAGTTGTTGTCCACAGGAGACATACAACTGTCTCCCCTTAGCTATCTCCCATTATCCAACCCCAGGCAACCAATGAGGTTCAGGCAAGATGTTTTCATAATGGAGAGTCCAGGCACAGTTTGGTATGCAGCTGGTGTGCTGGGTGGCCTTGAAGCAGCGTCTTGAGAGATACAGCTCTTACTTTTGTTTTCCCCCCAAACCTTCCCTGTTACATTTTGCCCCTCTTGAGAGTTCATGGCAGTTTGTCACCGAATAGTAGTGAAGGACAAGTAAGGATAAGGTGCTTGCTGACAGACTGGGTGACTTTAAAAAACAAGAGGTTATTAGATTTGGAGGATCACAAATTAAGATAAGGATGGCACATCTATCTATAATATAATAAGATTACAATAAACTCAGGTTTCAAGAAATATTTTGTTAGGCATGTCACTCTAAGAATTTAGAATAAATATAAAATAAGGGTCTCTTCTAAGAGACCTGTTTGGCTATCACCATAGGAAAACTTTTATAGAAAAGAAATGATGATGAGACCAAATTGGTCGGCCTATGGTGAAATAGTATCTTTTAC